AGCACAGGTCCTCTCTGCCGCGGGAAACTTGCTGCTCTGCGCTGGGCCCCTCCTTCGGGGGCTCGGGTGGCGAGGCTCGCAGACCCCGCCTCGGGCTGCAGGACACGGCGCCCGGCGCCAAATGGCCCTTTGGCTTCGAGAAGTAGCCTGCTGGGGGATAGAGGTAAGGGGGTGAGGTTGCGATCGGGAATTGGGTTCTTGCACGAATCTGATAACCTCACAAGTAGCAACTTAGGTATCTTTAAGAGATGTGTGCAGACACCATCTAAACTGGATTTGTTGTTACATCCTAGTGTCATGAAAACAGAAACTGTATTGTCTAGAACAATTAAATAGTGATGTTTGGCGCTTTCATGATGGCATTTCTTTTCCCTGTTTTCTTGTGGAAATGAAGTGGAAAAAGAATCCCAATTGGGAATTGCGGAACACAGGACCCAAGGTCGAGAAAGGGCTGTAAAACCAATAGTGCTTGAGATAATTCTGCGATAATTCCTAGAAACATCAACCCCTTGGTATTTAAACCCTGAAGACAGGTTACTCGGAGTATATTCCTGAGTAGGCGATTAAAAGCGAGTGTTTTAAAGACAAACTATTCTGGAATGTAAATTAAAAAGAAAAAGTAAATTTCTGACTTTTAGACGGCGGCTGTGTATAGTCTTTGAAAATAGTCAATGGCATATACAATGGTCTGCAGAAAATTCCATGGATGAGTGGATGGGGAGGGACCATATTTGAACTACTTAGGTTTATTTTATCTCTTTCTATTACTATATGAAATATAGAGTAACAATTTTGTTTGAATGTGTATTCAAAATTTTCTTGAATGTGTATAGGTACAGAAAAGTTTGGAGCGCACTAGACTGTTGCTTGAAAACCTGTTTTTGTGTCACATAGAACCGGTGTTGTGTGACCATGGGCCAGTCTTATCACTCTTTAAGTTTTCAGTTCCTTTTCTGTAGTTGGAGAAAATAACATAGTACCCAACTCACAGGATTCTTAAATATGTTGGGTGCGTGGGTGAGTGGGGTAGAAAAAGAGAGTTACAGTTATATCTCTATATTTATCTGTAATTAAGATAAAACATTTATTGAGCCTGGCAAACATTAAGGACACATGACATACTAAACTTGTTAAAGTGAAAAACAGGTTTTACTCCCCAAACGTTTATTTTATTGAGTGCCTAGATGTAGAATTTTATATAAAACATGCCTAAGTCTTAACTGTCAGCTTTAGACTTAAGAAAATTAAAGCCGTACTAGGTATTTTCAGGAATTAATAAGTAACAAAATTTTACCATAATAGTATATATATATTATATTTAAGGCATATTTAAATGTCACAGTTCTATATATACATATACTCATGTCCAGATGACTGAGGGTCAAATGTAATCACTTATATTAATGTTAACATTTTTGATTCACTAGTTAATGAGATACGTCTTTTCTCACTCAGCGTTCTTTTCCTGGTGACCAAATTCAAAATAATCTCTGTAGCTTTCTTCGTTGTATTCTCTCATTCACCTCTACTGTAGACTATGCTTTACTGCCTACTGGCCTCTCCATCTCAATATCCTAGGAGCACTTCAAACTCAGTGTTTTCAAACAAAATAAATGTGTTATTTATCCTCCCTCCTTGCTGAACTTGCTTTATCTACTTATAATGGCGTTTAGTATTGTGAAGATTGTTTCTGAAAATTAAACACAAGATGATTTGTTCCTTAATTCTGATATATTTATTGTAAAGAAATATTAAATACTATGAAGAGCTTTGTGGATTCCAGAATATTTAAAAGTATTTGGGGGCGTGGAGTACATCTGTTTATATGTCTCTTTAGCCTGTTAGAAAAATATTACTGCTTTAACCTTATCTAACTTTCAAGACATTCATGTTTTTTTAAAAAAAATCCGTTATTGTTAAATTACAAAGTGATTCCTCTTTTAAAAGATAGGATCCTTCAATGTCTGTTAGATGTATGTTACCATGGCAACCTAATAGCAAACTGCAAATCCCAGGCTAAGCACAGCAAATAAAAAACATCGTCGTCATATAGCGTGCTATCTTCTGTGTAGTAGAGAATCCTACACTCATTGTAAGAACCTTATCACACTTACCTTTGTTCACTTCTCTCCCCCCCCAGATTTACTTGAAAAACTGTTTTCTATCAGTGGTAAAATACTAAAATCAGTCAGCTGATGTCTGACTGCTAGCTGACTACAAGATCATGTATTATGCATTAAAAAAAAACAGTGTCTAAAAGATTTTTAATATTGCGAAAACCAAAAAGTAATGTTTTTTTTTTTTGCTCTTCTGTAATAAATAAATTACTGCTCAGTAACTGAGAAGAGAATTGAGGACAGGTGGGAGGGAAGCAAGTTGGAAAATAGCTTGGTGCTATTCTAGGGAATTTAAATTACCAGCAAGCTGAAACTAATATACATCAATTCTTGTTATTAAATAATTTGAGAAATATATTTGATTTTCACATTTTGAGTTGTATAAGAGATTGAAAGTAAACATTAAATTATTTGTGGAAAAGATGTTGACTATTATGTAATTGTGACTGTAATGCTGATATTGTCTCTAAAGGCATTTGTTTAGGTTAAATGTCCTTCGGATGTTAAGTAATATACCTGTTACATTTGTAATAGGTATATATGATTTTTGATATTATGATAAATTAAGGATAGGACAAAGTTCAGGTTTTTAAATATTGTTTACACCAGTTCTTCTCAAACTTTAATATTCTTATGAATCATCTGAGATCGCGTTATAATGAAGATTCTGATTCACTTTGTTTAGGGTGGGGCCTGAGAATCAGGATATCTTAACACATTTTCAGGATATGTAGATGCTACTTGCTGGTCCTTGTACTACACTTTGAATATCAAGTCTACAAGTCACTCTGTGGTGTGGGCAGCTTCTCTGCTGCTCTAACTTCTTGCTTACTAGCTATGCCTTATAATCTATGGCACTGTATCATGGACTTGCTTGTAGTATCTCCTAGAGCAGCAGTTTGCAAAGTGTGGCCCAAGCATCCCTGAAACCCTTTCACAGGATCTACAATGTCAATACTTTCATAATAACGGTAGCATGTTATTTGCCTTTTTCACTTTCATTCACTTGTGAGCATACAGCGGAGTTTTCCAGAGGTTACGAGACGGGTGATGATGTCATTGCTCTGATGATTGATGGGATGTGTACTTATGTGTTTTTCGTTTTGAATGTTTATCAGTTGTAATTGATAATATGGTAAATATCGGTAGATATAAACAAAAGCTCTTTGAGTTTCATAGTACCTTTTGAGAGACCACAGTCTTTGAGAACTGCTGCCCTGTGGTGTTGGGCCATGGACACACTTGATCTAGAACTTTACTGGAGCAAGTCTTTCCTTAGCCACGGTGACTGCTAAGCCAGAGTGGGAATTTCAGCTCCCCACATGGTCACCGTAGACACTGCAGTGATGTGGCCTCCTTACCACTCTGCGCGGTGGTAAAAGGCCTCCTCTGACACCATTCAAGCGGTGTGGGAGCAAGTAGCACCCTATCTCTGCTCGGTGGGGGTGGATGCCTAGTCTCTCTAGGTGGTCTCCACTGAAGCCGTTATCATGGCTGCTCACGTGGCTTACATCGTCTTCTCCGACAAGGAGCCCAGGCGGGATGTTGAAATGCCTCCTTACAGCCTCACCAGGGTGGATACGCACTTGGTCTTTGCTGGCACAGTGAGGAGGAAGAGGGGACCCCGTTTTTTTTTCGGTGATATTTGGCTAGGGTAGAGCCATTATTGCCTGAAAGCTTTATGTCTTGTTAGGCTGCCCTATTCCCAGTCCTTTGGCCTGAGGCAACAAGCCTTGTTTAGCCCCACCCCCGCCCCTTAGTTCTGCACCTGTTGGTGTCTTCGCTAGATGTGGGATATTAGAAGCAGAGCAAAAACTCAGGAAACTCACCAAGGTGTCATTCCATGGGTGTTGAGGTCCCTAGCCAGTCTGCAGCCTCTTTCAGAGTCTTCCTGTGTTCGTTTTGCATATAATTTTCGGTTTTTAGTAGCATTTGTATATTATTGTTTTGTGAAAGTGTCAAATCATCCAGTATCTCTGAAGGGTGGCCTCGTATTAACTACTGAAATGTACACCTATTCCACATTCCTGGAAGTGGGAGGCTCTGATTGCTTTTTGTTTTTTTTCTAACTCTCACCATAGCCCCACTGCATATCCCTTATATTTGGTTATATAAAAATGTCTGAATAAACATTAAAATATTCCCATTAAAGAAAAACTGGATTTGATAAAGCAAATGACTAGTTTTTGGAGAAAATGTTTAAAATTTAATTGCATAGAATTTCCATGAAAGGAGTCATGTCTACGGTTGAAGATTTTATAAAAAAATAAACTAATTTTGTGTAATAAATTTGGGGATTTAAGTTATCAGAATTTTGGAAAATAAAATTTAGAAAAATTGATTCAGGAAGATATAGTGAACCTGTAAAAACCAGTATACAAGATAGAAATTAAAATTTCATAAAGTTAACTTTAAAACATGGTCCCATAGCTTTAAGTCTAGTTCTTTGTCATTTTCAAAAAAAACCCCACATTTAAATGTCATGCCACAGAAGTGATTTTAGAGCATTAAAAAGATGGGGAAACCACTCATTTTACTTAATGAATTGTCATAACAGCAAACTTGACAAAGATTGTTCCCCAGAACAGTTGCTCCAAATTATGTATTGATATTTGATATTTCTGAAATTAGTTCTGTCACTGTAAGTTTAAAAAGCAGTGGGGGAAAAAAGAATCACACTGTCTGATGTCTCTCCCCACCCTCTACTCTCTCACATTCATCCTCTCGAGTCTCATTCTGTGGTTTCTGCACAGCTCCTTCTTGCTGTCTGTCACACTGCGTTAGCCTCCCTCCCTCCCAGCACACACAGACACTTAAGAATGGCTCTCTTGCCCTGTGGGCATGTCATATCTTCTAGGGAGGATATGACTGGAATCTTTCAGCTGAAATTCAGGAGAGAGAAAATCTCATTTAATCTGTTGCCGCCCAGGCACCTGGTGCAAACAGGGTTGCTGCGGTACTCGAGGGACTTAAAATGGATCGAGACTAGAACTATTCTGTTACTCTTTTTCTGTATGTTAGAAATTTTTAATTACCTACATCATGAATTTTTTTAAGTACCTATCTTTTGAGGTCTTAAATGTATTTTAAAGAAAAAATGAAAGCAGCAATCAAAGAGTTTTCATAACATTTAATTTCAGACGATCAGCTTTGACTTATGGTACAGTATTCACATGTTTAGAAAATCTTGTATTATTTTAAATATGTTAATTTTCTAGGTATAGTCTGTTGGTAATGGAGTTTCTTTAGGGAACAGTTAGGAAAACTGGTGTTAGGCAGCACTGCTTCAAATATGTTTCTTTGGGAAAATAATTTAAAATGAAAAGTTTTATCAGATTCAGTATTACTTTATAACTTGTAAAAGTTAGATGATTGCTCTGGAATAATTTTAGAAGGCTTTTTACCATCTCTGTTGGTAGATCTAGTAAACTAGAAACCACAGTTACGCAAAATCTTTTACCTTTTGTGGGTTTAGGATTCAAAACATTTAGGTAGGCACATGTGTATAAAATCTTGGCCATGAATAACGATGTAAAAGCAACTAGTGTAACATATGCAGATGATTTATGAGAGAGAGAGAGAGGGAGAGAGAGAGACATTTATTAACTTCTGTAGGTTAGAAGTCTGGCATGTCCCCCTGGGCCAAAATCAAGGTGGCAGCAGGGCTGTGTTCCTTTCTAGAGGCGCTAGAGGAGGATCCCAGCCTCTAGTGGACACCTGCATTCTTTAGCTCGTGGACCCCTTCCTCCGCACAGATGATAATTTTACTTTTTTTAAAAGTGAAAATGAATGAATATTGTACTTAAAACTTAAGCTTTGTCTGGTTTATTTTGTTAAGTTTAATGTATATGGAACAATCATATGGATGCTGTACTTCATTTACTTCGTAGTTACTATAATGTTTTAATATTTGTTCAGACCCGATGGCCAAGAGAAAGGAAGATAATTTCTTCTCTCCTGACAATGCCAAAAGACCAAGACAAGAAGAGTTGGAAGATTTTGATAAAGACGATGACGAGGATGAATGTACAGTTTCTTTCATTAATGGTACCTCTACTTTAGTAAGTATAAAATTACAAAATTAATATTTTTTGATTAGCATATTTCTCATGGCTGGTTTATATGTCATGCTCTTGATAATTAAATAGCCCGAAAAGCAGTATGATTTTTAAAAAGCAGAGGTGAAATAATCTGAGTAATTTTGAAGTTTTTGTTAATTAGAAAAAAATAGTAGAGAAAACAATGATACCAAGAGCTGGTTCTTTGGAAACATCGACAGAATTAAACCTTTAATGAGACCGAAAGAGGGGAAAAAAGAGAGAAGACTCAGATCTCCAGTATCAGCAATAAAACAGTAGCCACGACCACAGACCCTGCAGACATCGAAAGGAGAGTAAGGGAAAACTGTTCACAGCTCTACACACATAAATTTGACAGCTGAGATGGAGTGGACCAATTCTTTAAAAAGCATAAACTATTACAGTTTACCCAATATGAAATAGATAATATTAATCACTCTACAACCGTTAATGAAATTTAATTCATTGTTTAGAAACTCCTTATAAATAAATCTTCAGACCTCGTTGGTTTGACTGGAGAATTGTACCAAATATGTAAAAAAGGATTGATACGAATTGTACACAGTCATTTCCAGAAAATGTAAGGTGAGGGTACACTTTCCAATTAATGTATCTTGATACCAAAACTAGACAAAGAGGGTACTAAAAAAGCAAACTACAGAACAATGTACCTCATGGCTACAGACACAGAAATTTTAAGGTAATATTAGTAAATAGAATTCAATAATTTATAAAAAGAATTGCATACTGTGATCAAGTGGTTTATTCTAAGCATGCAAGGCTGGTTCAGGATCTGAAAATCAGTCAGTGTAATTCACCATTTTAACAGGCTAGAGAAGAAGAATCACATGATCATATCACTTGATACAGAAAAGACAGTTGACAAAAATTTAATACTCATTCATGATTAAAATTCTCAAAGTAGGAATGGAGGGGAACTTCCTCAGTGTGATAAGAAGCATTGACAAAAAACTTACAGCTAATATCATACTTAATAGTGACATACTGAACTGTCTTTTCCTATGATCAGAAAAAAGGCAAGGATGTCTGTTCTCATCACTTATTTAAAATAGCACTGGGTAAGTTAACCAGTATAATAAAGCAAGACGAAGAAACAAAGTTATACAAGTTGGAAAAGAAAAAATAAAACTGCTTCTGTTTGCCGATGACCTGATTGTCTACATAGAAAATCACAGAATTACAAAACAAACAAACAAACTTAAAACTAATAGGTGCATATAGCAAGGTTGCAGAATACAAGATAAACTTTTTTTTTTTAAGTCACTTGTCATCGACATTGAAAGTAGGGACATTGAAATTCAAAATACGGTACCATTCAAAAAAGAGAAATGCTTAGGTCTAAATCTAACAAAATATGTACAGGACTTGCATGCTGAAAACTATACAATGCTGGTGAAATGAGTCAAAGAAGGCCTAAATAAATGATGTTCATGGACTGGAAGACTCAACATTGAAAAGATAACGGTTCTTCCCCCAAAATAACATATAGGTTTAATGCAATTTTTATTAAAATTCCAGCAAGATATTTTGTAGATATATATAAATTTTTTTCTGAAATTTATATGAAAAGGCAAAGGAACTAGTATAGATAAAACAATTTTGAAATAGAAGAATAAAAGTGGGAGGAATCAGTCTACCCAATTTCAAGACTTATGATTTACTTACAGTAATCAAGACAGTGTGGCGTTGGTGTAGGGATAAACACATAGATCAATGGAATAGAACAGAGCAGCCAGAAATAGACCCACACAAATTATAATGAACTTAATTTTGACAAAGGTACAAAGGCCCTTTTAGCAAATGTACTGCAACAGACATCTGTAGGCAAAAAAGTGAACCTCAACCTAAGTACAGAAATTAACCCAGAATTGGGTAATAGATTTAACTGTTAAACGTAAGACTTTAAAATTTTTAGAAACAAACACAGTACAGATCTCTGGAATCTAAGGCTGGGCAAAAAACTCTCAAACTTGACCCCAAATGCACAAATGGTAAAACAAAAAAATGTTAAACTGAACCTCATCAAAATTAAAAATATTTTATCTGCAAAAGACCCCATTAAGAGGATGAAAAATCAAACTACATACAGACGAGGAGAAAATATTTGCAAACCTCATCTATAACAAATACTAGTACATCAATTATATAAAGAACTCTCAAAATTCGGTAGTTAAAAGCAAATGATCCAATTTAAGAATGGGCAGAAGGCATACAAAAACATTTCACCGAAGAGCAGGATATATAAATAGCAAGCACATGACATGAAGTTCAGTATCATTTGTCATGCGAATTAAGACCACAATAAGATATCAGTACATACCCATCAGAATGGCTAAAATTAAAAAAAAACAAACAAACGGACAACACCAGATGCTGGCAAGGATGTGGAGAAACTGGTCATTTATATATTTACTGGTGGGATGTAAAAGAGCCACTCTGGGAAATAGTTTGGCATTTTCTTAAAAAAATTTAACATGTAACTACCTACCATATAACCCAGCATTTGTCCCAGAAATGAAGATTTATCTTCACACAAAAATCTGTAGATGAATATTTTACACAGCTTTATGTGTAATAGCAAAATACTGAAGCAACCCAGATGTCATTTATTTGGTGAGTGAATGGTTAAACATACTATGGTATATCCGTACCATGACTAATAAATAAAAAGCTGTGAATTGCTGATATAGGCAACAATAGACAATTATGTTGAGTGAAAAAAAAATCTCAAGGTTCTGTATGATTCCATTTATATAACATTCTTGAAATGATGGTGATACAGAAATGGAGAAAATATTTAGTGGGCCAGAGTTAAGAAGGGGATGGATTAGGTGGGCTGCGAATGTGGCTTTATATAAAGGGGCAACCTGAGGGATACTTGTGGTGGTGGAAATATTCTCTGTTTTGACTGCGTCAGTGTGAGTGTCCTGGAAGTGATATGGTTCTATAGTTTTCAAGATGTTACCATGGACAGAAACTGGGTAAAGGAGTCATAGGATATCTGTGTTATTTCTTACAGCTGCATCTGAATCTACAATTCGATCAAAACAAAATTTTTTTGTATTTTAAAACGTCTTTCACCATGATTTCTGGTATTCTGCTTATACAATGATTTCAATGTTTTCTGCTTTTTAATAAGATGATGCCCGGAAGAGGAGAGCCCAGGGAGATTTTTGAAGAAACTTTAAATGCTAGAGACATTAAGTGTTCTTCGAAAAAATTGGAATGTTTGGTAAAATAGGTTGATTTATTTTATTTCTGAGTATGAGGTATGACCACTGTGTGCCAAACTCTTGATGAAAACATTTATAAACCTCTAATGTAACCATGATTTACAAGTGGAAATTATTTCTGTTTTGTAGATTTAGAAACCATATATTCTTTATACATTACCAAAGTCACACAGTTATCATAATAAGTGACTGTCACAGAAAGTCACAAGAAAATCAGACTTTGCTTTTTAAGAATGGGTACTCTTCTCTTTGAATTATCTATATCAGGGTCAGCATTCAAATTATAAGTGGATAATCATCTTTCAGAGAGGGTCTAAATATGGTTCTGTATATCACAGGGAGTTTCCGTACACCAGTGGTTCTCAACCAGGGGGCTTTGCACCCTCCTAAGACATTTAGCAATGTCTGGCTATGTTTCGGTTGTCACAACTGAGGGGGGGTCCGTGCTACTCAAAAGGCACAAGACAGCCCTGCCTCCAACAAAAAATTATCTGACTCAAAATGTTAGTATTCATATTAAGAAACTTGTGGTACACTTATTCCATCCTTTAGGGACTTTACAATGCATAGGTACTCATATAAGGTTCCCAGTTAATTTTATCTTATTGATTGAAGTTAATGTTACTAATTTTCTGTAGCTTTTTTCATTGATAACACTCCTGGTCTTTCTCCTGCTAGCAATCGCTTACATGATTATAGTGAGTGAATTAGACAGGTTGATTGTTTTCCTCTATTGTTTTTTATTAATAGACTGCAGCAGAAGTCGGAATAATTGAGAGTATTCAGCTCAGAAACTTCATGTGTCATTCGATGCTTGGACCCTTTAAATTTGGTTCTAACGTCAATTTTGTTGTTGGCAACAATGGAAGTAAGTGCTTTTGCCTTTTTTAACTTTGAGAAGTTCCTTTGGGTTAGACTGCATTAACTTTTTTAATTAGGTGATTATTAGTGCTGATAAATATAAGCTTTACATCTATAATTTTGTGATCATGAATATTTTCAATATTTGCTGCTTATCTGCACTTTAAGAAAATAATGAGTTAACTCTAGGTTCATTATATGTGCAATAGGGATAAACATTTTCTGCTTTTCCTTTAAATCCATTTACCCTGGAATTCATATCACAGAAGAATGAATAAGCTCTCCTTATTCAGATTGAGGCTGCCCTGTGTCTCACATTATTAAATGTCGTAGCAGAGCATAAATAAAATGCCATGGGAATCCAAACACGAAGGAAACGAATTCTCACTTTTGTGGCCATTTGATAGCATTAAGAGGAGGCGGTATTTGTGCTGGTACTTGACTGAAAAATTATAGATTCTTTAGGTCTCATTGAGATGCTCCAGGCAAAGATCGCTCATTGGCCAAGATTTGGAGGGATGGAAGTAGATGTTTGTGGAGAGTTGTGAATAACCTTTATGGCTTTATCATGTTGTCCGTGGTATGGAGCGACAGAAACTGAGAGTCTTATTGTAGGTGATACTGTTGAGGATCTTGACTGCCATGAAAAGATTTGAGGTTTTATTCAGAAGTCAGTGGAGAACCACTTAAAGTTTTTGAGTAAAGTGATGACATGATCAAGATTTGTGAAACCAGCTGGCCAAACTGGAGAATAGATGAGAAGGGGAAGACACAGGTGTTAGAAAGATTAGATCGCTTTTGTGATAGACCAGCCAGGCTTGAGGTGTTGCCAGCTTGACTGAGCCAGTGCACAGGGACGGAGGCTTGTCCGAGTCTACAGTTGGTAACGGTGCTGGGACTTGAAAGTAGGTGTGTGTATTTCCAGTCTGTTTAGTTCCTTGGTTTCCCTACTCTATATTCAGTCAAAAGGAAAGAGTTTTTTTTTTTGTTTTTTTTTTCAGAAGAGAATGGACAAAGGGATCAATGCTACAGGGGACAAGAAGTGAAGAAAGACCAGTGGGTTCTGCAGTTAGGTCTTTTCTTATTTTTAACTTTTGAAACAGTGATTTTATTGATAAAACTTAAGAAGAAATAATGCAATTAGTGGGAAGTGGAAAGAAAAGAGAGAGTTAGAATAGGGATGTGAAAGGCATCCCAGGACCTAAACTGGGTTAACTAGCGGTGTGTTTTGGTTAATTTGGAGTATATTGTGGAAGATGATGGGCTGATAAGAGTTGATTGAATTGATTGATCATGGAATTCATAAAATGGTTATCATATTCTGGATAATTTTGTAAATTTTGGAATTTTAGCTTGTGATACTGTATGTCTGTTAGGATAAAAAGAAGTACACTGCAATGAGGTGTGGAATGAGTGCTATTCAAATTAGGAGTAATAATTGTTCAACTATGACATAAAACATCTATCTGTATGACTGAAAATTGTTCATATTTCAGTTTCTTCATTCAGCAGATAGGCAGTTGCCTGTGGCGGGCAGATATTGGAGATACAGCACTAAAGAGAGTAGACAGCATTCCTGTCCCTGCGGAACCTGGATTTGAGGGTTGTTAAAAATAGGTTTTGATTTCTAAGAATTTGTGGGAAAAGTAAGTTGTAATTAAATTAGAATGTAATAAAAGTTAGATGCATTAAGTCTATATGTATAGTTAGTTCATTCAATAAACTAATGGGCCAGGATACGGTGGGATTTTTAGGTTGGAAAGTTATCGACCATTTATTCCATTTTCTTATTAGTGGCAAAAACTTAATTCCTGAAATGGACTAATTTTTTCTAATAACAGTTGCTAAATATTTTATGATATATACAACTTTTTTTAAAAAAACTTTATTGCTTTGGCATTGGAACAAAATTATAATTGAAGTATAATACTTTTAGGGTTGTACTAATTCACATTTTCATTCAGAAATCTTTTTACAGCAAATTTAGGAGTCAGCCTTTTTTCCCCTATCTTTAATGATTGTGATTTCTTCAACACCTTTCTCCTTAGGCGGGAAGAGTGCAGTACTCACAGCTCTCATAGTTGGTCTTGGTGGAAAGGCAATCGCCACTAATAGAGGATCTTCTTTAAAAGGTTTTGTGAAAGATGGACAGACGTAAGTGTTTGCTTTCTACGTGCATTTTTCACTTCTTTGGTAAGAACAGCTACTTTAGATTTCCAGTTCACATAGACGTCATAGGAAATGAACTGGCTTCTCGGAACTGGAGCAGAGGTAGCGAATCTTTTCATTCCTTTCTCTCGCTCCCTGTTGCCAGCATGGCTCACTGTTGCCTGTTATCCTCTGCAGACAGAAAGCTTGTGTAAGTCATGGCCTTGTGCCCGTCCACCTACACCTTGTTTCTTTGACCTTTCTCGAAGAACCAGTAGTGATAAATCTGTCTACTTGTGTTTAAAGGAATAGTTATAAACATTGGACTTTCCTGACTCTTGATCCAAACCCAGCTATATCAAGTCCATGTTGCTATGACATAGGCGAAAGCAGAATCTGTGACCAGCAAAAGTGTCTCTGCACAGAATTCCTGCCTCTGGCTCGTTAAGAATTCCAAAAAATTCTTATTTCATATCCTTGACCCAGGTGGTTTGCCAGTGAGTTTGATTTGAGGACCACACTCACAAGTCTGCGTGTGGTCCAGCTTGACTGTTGCTGAATGGTCATATAAGTACCCTCTTTGGCTTTACATTTTTATTTCTTTTTGTTATAACTTGCCTTCACTTAAATGTATAATAATTGCCCAGTTTACATTATCATACACTCATGGCCTTTTGCCCATTAGGAGCTTTCTTCAGGATGATGTCCTTATTCTTTTTAATACTGCCTCGGATAGCTCTACAGGGACCCTTGTTTCTCCTGACATCTAGATGCTCCAGACTATCAGATCTCCCAGACGGAGACTGCTTCCAGTGCTCATTGCTCTCTCACGCTAGTGCCCCAAACACGGGGAACTGTGATAATTAACAGTGATTTTTTTTTTCCTCATATGTTTTTCCTCTGCTCAGTGTTGTATGCATTTAACTTCTCCCATTTTATTACTAAAAAATAGAACGAGGACGAGATGTGAGTTAGGATTATGGATTTCTTATGTATCTCTCAGAAACCTGTCAACCGGAGGTTACTGGTATCAGTTCAGCACCAACAGGAATCCCCAATTTGGGGTGCAGTCCTGAAGGAAATTTTATTCAGTGCAAAGAGCTCAATTGTGATCTAGCACAGCTGTGAGAACAGCACAGTTACAGTAGTGTTACAGCTCAGTTATGAAGCGGCGTGGCTACGAGGTGGCCCTGGGGCCAGACCCTCCCTTACTGGCTAGACAGCTCTGCTCCACCTGCTCTGATCCGGTCCATTCTACTTTGCTAGAGTGAGAGAGACAGCTTCAGAGGTGTTTCAGCTCTAGCTGGGGAAAAGCAGTCTTCAGTGGAAAGGGAAAGTGCTCTCCAAGCCAGAGGGAAGCAGATTTATATAAATAGAAGCCCCCTCTCCTGGTCCCTGAGGGGTTCATCTTCATGCAAATGAAGAATCTAAATCTTCACAGTTTGATTGATCTAAAAGGCACTGTCTTATTGGTCAGAATGGAACCACTCTGGTCGGTGAAGATGTTGATTGGGGTGGGATATAGTTGCACAGCTCTGACTGGATGGGAAAGCCTCACTCCTATTGGTCGAAATACCATTCCAGGAACTCCTTTATAAGGAGTGGCTGGGGTGGCTGGGATGGTTGGGATGGCTGGAACACAGTGAAGCAGGTAACTCAATGCAGGAAGCAAGCAGCTTCGTGCAGGCTTCTATCTGAAATGGGATTTGCATGAGAAGCTCCTGTGTAGAAATCCCTGCAAGGCTCTGTATGTTTTAAATTTGAGTCCAGCTAGTCATCAACAGCCCTTCTTAGTAGATCTCTTCTTTGTAAGGGTCCATAAACCTTGGCAATCTTAACCCTAAGTTAGGGTTCCAAGCTGACTCAGGATAAGCAGGGAAAAGATACACAGAAAATTATTTCCCATGCTGTGTGGCCTCGGAAAAGAACTATTTGGTAACAGTTCTCTAGCATATTTTGTTCCTACTTATCTTATTTGGGCCCTTGCCCAGCAAGGTCTTCTCTCCCGTAGTCCCCAAACAAAATTATGTCTGAAATAAAAAATTAGTTACTTTAACAGTTAATAGTCCCAACTCAGTTTCAATTCATTATACTTAACTATACATTTGTTAGTTGTCTAAACAATCACTGAGTCTACCAGATAATACATTCATCTTTCAAATAGAAGCTTTAGGAAGAAATCATTTTTTTCTGTATCATTAAATGTTTTATTTTTCCCATTTGGGAAGAACCTGGACCAAAGCAGAAACTTCCTTTTGAGACTTGACCTTGGAATACCCCACAAAGAAGGGAGGGAGAGAAGGAGGAAGGATGGAAGGAAAAGAAAGAGGCTAGCTTACATAAATCATGAACTTTTGAGGATACAGATGCCTGTAGGTAGGAACATTAATATATTTTAAATGAGTTAATAACAGTTAAAAGCTATAACCTGAGCTCAGTCTCTTTTTTACTGACCTTGCCTGAAAAAGTATCTGTAAACAGCTTTTCCAGACCCATTACTATTCCTCTATAAAATTCTATAAAATTCCCCTTATTTTATAGTCTTTGATTAGTCATCATGTTTTCACAGAATCAGCTCACTGAGCTTTTCAGTTCTATTCATAGTCTATCCTGCATCTAAAAATGTATGTGGTTATCCCACCTCACCTCGCGAGGGAATCCTAAGGACTCTCCTCCCCATTGTCAACATTGCACTCTCCATTTGTGACACCTGGGTGTTGGGCTGCCTTAGCGATGCTTGCTGAACACAGGAGAAACCAGAGAGCTATGCCTTGAGACCCTTTCCCTGGGCCTCAGCCCTCTGATGTCCCCCAGCCTTTTTCAGAGATTTGCGGACAGCGGATCCATTCTCCTAATAGTATATCTTCTTCCGTGGATACCGCACACAGTGACCCGAGATCTCATGCCCCTGGCTCTTCTGGTTCTTCCTGAACACGATCGATTCACTGTTCACTCCCTCGGCCTTTCTGATGTTAGCACCAGTGGAGCTGGGATCTTTGCATCAGTCTTGCTTTGACATCAGCTACGGCACTTGGAGTGGGTTATGGAGGGACGAAAACTCACGTTTCTGCTCTGCATTCCTGATTCAGCTAGTCAAGGTTACAGGACTTTTTGTGGATGAGCTGGGTCCCCAGAGAACAGGCAGCTGCATATTTTTACATTGCTTTTTGCCTTGTTCCTCGATGTCATCGATGTGTGCTGCTGCCAGTTACCTTTGTGCAGATAGGTTCTTCCAGAGTTGAGAAAGAAGCCAGATTCGTACTGTGGCACTGCTTGTCTGCAGTGTCCTTAAAGAACTCTCACTGATAGTCTCATTTCACTTAAACATCTCCCATATTTACAGACAGCAGGCTGCCTGGCCCTTGAGCCAAATGCAGCATCACCCACATCAGTCTGCTGGGGAGGTAGCAGTTGGTGCCCAGCTCACTTGTCCCTGTCTCCTTTAAGCAATTACTATTAGGCTGTTTTTTTAAGCCTTAATTTTTTAATAACTTGTGGATTGGGGAGCAAGAGCTAAGCAAACCCTTCCGTGTGTCTCTTGTAATATCAGTTTACAGTCAGTTTTTTTCTATGTTTCCTACATATGGGAGTAATTTTGGAATATGATTATAAATTCATGAAAACAAGTTCTATTAAAGATCTCACTTAATTACTAATTAAAGCAGTTTTGCATTAAAGGACTTCATCATTTTGGCAGGTATCCTTATTAACCAGAGAAAATATTTGTCTTTTATGTTTGAAGACATTATAAGTATGTATTTATTAATGTCCTTTGTTAATATTTTTTTACCAAGTCTTATTTTAACAGAAGTTAGAGTAGAAAAACTGATTTTTTTCACCCTATAATGTTAAAATATTCATGGCTGTAAATGTTTTGAACTTATTTGAAACTTTAAAAATAATTCTTTTATAATACTAATAAGACTTTAGGACATTTCGAGCTTTAGTTTATATTTATTGGTGTCAATATTCTCATTTCATTGCCAAGTAATTGAAAAATTAAAGTTGCTTCCCTTGATTCTCATCCTCTTAGAAAATGTTATTCCTTCACCATAATTCTTACTTTATCCTTCTGAAAGGACTGCTGTCAACATGATGCTTTATTATGTAATTTAGAGTAGTCAGGCATTATAATATTGATTATAATTGCTTATAAGAAAATACATAACTACTTGATTTGAAACAAAAATTTTTTTTGTGCAAATGTAGTATTTCTATTATGGATAGAATAGTCAATTTTTTTTAATAAAGCTCTTATTCTAAACTTTAATTTTTTGTGAGATCTTTCACATCATTCTGTAGAAGCCTATTAGTGATCAACTCCTGGTATAAAGCTACTTTTCAAATGAATTAGCCAAATTACTTGGAAGTTTTGAAAATTATAGTAAGCCATGTATAGTTGCACCGTACCTTCGTGTAACTTAGCTTAACCTTATTGCTTTAGCTCAGCAGATATCTCAATAACATTAAGGAACAGAGGTGACGATGCCTACAGAGCTAATGTGTATGGTGACTCTATAATTGTGCAACAACACATCAGCATGGATGGAAGTCGATCTTATAAACTAAAAAGTGCAACAGGTTTGTTATGAATTTTTTATTTCATATAAAATTTTAGTAAATACCCAGTTAAAAGGAGATAAGTGATTGTACTGGTATCCATTGAAAGGGCACTGCTCATCTCTTGCAACGTCTTTCTTGTAAGGTGATTGGTTGGTTGCATGTACGAATATATATACACATATTACACACAGTTTTTGTACCACAGGAGATTCTACAGCAAAACCTTGATTAGAAGAATTTGAGTTCATTCGAAACAGGCTATGCCATTTTCTTCTCAAGTGCAGACCTCCTTTCACCCCCATAGTTTCTGTCCCACTTGAAAAGAGATGGTTAGCAAAAGGTGAGAGAGGACATAAAGGCAGAGGAGGTGAATGTTAACTGAACAGATAGATGAGAGGGAAAAGAAAATGTTTCGCTACGGGAAGAGGAGAAGCACTGTCGCTCCATCTGGACTTCTACCTGTGTGAACTGGTGTCATGATGAGTGCAGCACCCCAGTTCATCAGGTGTATGCGTGCTCAGTGGTACCTCTCTTAAAATGAGAAGTAATCTTTATAAATAATTGCTCGTATTTTTCTGTATTGTTGCCCTATAAACAATCTGGTTATTTTATGTTTCTCATAACTAGGCACAGTGGTTTCCACTAGGAAAGAAGAGCTGATTGCAATTCTTGATCATTTTAACATACAGGTAATTACTAAATTTGTGTTTCTGATTAATTAATGCACCTGGTTACTTTTTTTTTGTGATTTCCTTTGTGTTGTAGAAAGAATTAAAATGACCTCACCTGAGTAAATTGACCATAGGAAGAATATGTATTACTATTGTTAGTGAAGTTTCTTAAAATTTAGTAATTCAAAGGAAATGGTACTATAACACCTTTTGTTGATAGAGCAGTCAGAGACCATCTGTCTACACCCCCGTGTGATAAAAGTTTAGGTTCATAAAGGCTGATGGTTCCTTTGCTTTCTGCTCTCCTAGTCAGAATAGCATCATAGTTTTCTAACCTCAGTCGCTAAATTCATGTAGAAAAGAAATTTATTCTAGGAAGATAAAGCGTTTTTTTATGTATTTTGGAGATATTGATCATATCCGTAGGAGACAAGGGTTGAGTCCTTTTTGCTAAGATGTTTTGACTTAATCATTGGAAACAGGGCACATATAGTCCTGCAGCATCAGCACTGGAATTGTCTTTGGTGGTTTTCTAATCCAGACCCTTTATTTTGTAGGCGAGAAATTGGGGGCCAGAAAAAGTAAATTTGCACTTACAGTTGCCTGGGTACAGTTACTGGGGGCTTCTGGATGGGGATCCAGGCATTCCCCTTGCATTCTGATGCGCTATCCATGGTGCCACCCTGCCTTATTCCAGAATGAAGACCGCCAAGACTTGTCACCAAGGAAAAAGGACAATTACAAGTCTGGGTCTCTTGCCCACTTTACTTTAGCACATAGCTGTCTAGAAAAAGTTTCTGCGATGGTAGAAATAGTCTGAATTTTGCTGTTCGATGGTGTAGCCACTAGCCATGTGTGGCTCTTGAGTGCTTGAAGTCTGTGACTGAGAAATCAAATTTTTTATTTTACTTAATTTTACTTAATTTAAATGTAAGAAGCTGCATGTGACTGATAGCTTGCATTTCAGACAACACAGCTTTCGAAAAATAATTGAAATCTGGTGCAAAGCAGATATAGCAAATAAAATTGGGTCTAGAATGTGAACAATTTGTTAAGCAAAATCAGGAAAACCAAAAGTTGGAGTTTATAGAATCAGAGGTGTTGGGAGAATCTTGAAGGGCATCCAATATAGTTATCACACTCATACTTACCCAGTGGGGAAATCACCTGTGCCTGAGACTTCTGATTTATCTGTGGACTGCTGTATTTATTAGAAAGTTCTTATTATGTGAAAAGTTGAATAAACTTGTTTCTCTAAGCTCTTACTTCCTTGCAGAATGTAAAACGCATTTATTCTCTTTTGAAATATTTGAAGATTGTTATAACTCCTTTAGTCTTCGTCTTGTATGATTCAGTTCACTGAAGGTTCAGGTTCATTGATCAAAATACAGAAGAAGGTCTAGAACTGCACTTACCGCTCTAGTAGCCACGAGCCACATGTGGATATTGAGCCCTTGGAATGTTGGTAGTCCAAATCGAGATGTGCTGTGGTGTGAAATACACACCAGATTTTTAGGCTTAATGCAAAGGAATAACTCAGTTTTTATATTGATTACATGTTAAAATGATGATACATTAGCTGTATTAGATTAAAAGATTAAAATTAATTATACCTGTTTCTTGTGTTTTTAATGTAGCTACTGGAAATTTTAAAATTATATGTGTGGTTTGCAGTGTATCTCGGTTGACAGTGCTTGCGTAGAATAAGCAGGAGGGAGGAGAGTATTTAATGTCATAATGTGCCTGGTTATAGTTGTCCCCTGTGCCTCCCCTTCTTTTCTTTTCTCTGAGGTTGACCTGTTTGTGTTTGCTCCAGGGTCTCAGTAGGTGAAGCTGCAAAATCCTTAAGTGATTCCTAGCGTAGTGTAGGAACGAGGAGCCCCATTCCAGAAAGAATGAAAAGGGTGTGGAGAAAAGAATTCAAACTTTGGGGAAAGCTCTTAATCTTGAGCTGCTGGTAAGAAGTCTGTCATTAAACCTAGTGCATTAGGTCTTACTTTTAAGAAGTCAGATACAGTGTGAAATTAAGATAAAGGGCAGGCCTTGTAGAAAATTATATGGCAGCCAGAGTCTTGTCTACCTATAGCATAAGAAAAATGTGATAATGTAGAAGTTTCTTTTATAACTACATAATTTTTTTTGTTAGAAGAGAAGACCCAAAGTTTTACTGAAAAGGAAGATTTTAACCATTGGTATACTAACAAAGTACAATCAGTATTTTACAGATGGTGAAATGAAGGAGTTTTAACCTTTTAAAATTTATACTGGTCCTGCATATTCTGTAACTTAGGAACAAGATTATTTTCTAACATATTGGTTACTCGGTTATTAACACTAAAGATAAAAGATATAAAAACCTGAATCTTTTTGAAAAAAGTATTTAAAATTTTTTTTTCAACTATACTTCGAACTGTTACTATGCTTTACTGTTACCTTAAATGTACTTTAACTCGTTAGCCAAAGACAGTTTCATTCAAGCAGTGGCTTATTTAAAATGATTCCCCGCTCCAAAAGATAGAAATGTCTCCGATATTTCCATTTGTTTCACAATGTCTTCATGAAGAAATAACCACAAATGGGAAACCTGAGAAACTGCTAAAAGAAAAATAAACAATACTTGTCATCATAATTCGGATGAAAAAGAAACCTAGTTGGACTTTTTAGTATTTGGAGAATCTGAGTAACGTGCCCAGAGCTACAGGAGAGGGTAGGGACAGAGCCCAAACAAGAACTGTCAGCTGACTCCCTCGTGAGGGCTTTTCCTGCAGTGCTGGCCAATGGTTAACCAGTAGCATAGGAGCGATAGTCTGTAAAACAGGTGAAAGAAATTAAAACTTTCTAAAACATTTCTTCAGAGAATTCTTGTGCTTGTGCCTTCATGGAATGGCAGAATATTTAATTTTGACTATAGTATTTATTTTAGTATCATGAAGTATTGAAACATTTTCTCTGCATTATAACATTTTTTTCTTTGTATATTTACCCTAATGCTCTAACCTTTGGCTAGTACTTAGCCTTTCTCATGGTACCGTAGGTCAATCGTAGTGTATATTTCAGTTCATTTATCCTTAAGCTTTTAAAGTGAAGTATTCAAAAATAACCTTTGTTTGTTTCAGGTGGATAATCCAGTTTCTGTTTTAACACAAGAGATGAGCAAGCAGTTTTTGCAGTCTAAAAACGAGGGCGACAAATACAAAGTAAGGAGCATCAAGTAAATATAAACTTAATAAAAGAACATTTATAGATTAAGCACATACACTGGACATAATTCGTGTTCTCATAGTAAATATTGAGGTATTTTATTAAGCCACCTTTTTAAAGTAATATTGTCGGACTATTTAGGAAATTAAGTAAGATGGTAAATTAACTTTACCAAAAATATTAATTTCTTGGTAAATCCTTGCTTTTAATTTTGGCTTTTAATTCCAAGGGAGAATGGATTATTATTTTCTAAAATTAATCTTTAAGGAAATACAAGAGAATAATTGGCCACACATACATAATAACTTTTAAACCTTAAATTATTTAAGACTCAAAAAGCTAACAAAATTGTGGTGTCTACTAAAACTCACAGTGTAACTTTGAATTGGGTTTAGGTATTTTCTAAAAGTTACGATGCACTAAGATCAGGGATGCAAGTGTTTTCTCTGTTTTTACATTTGCTTAAAGAATGGAAGACTCGGTAAAAATGAGCTTTCAGAATGGTTTTACTGTTACACCAAAAGTGTTTTCTTTCATGGGGTTTTAAGAGCTTTTGCAAATGCACATATAGGTGTGAATATAGTTGGTTAAATTTGAGGCCTGAAATAAGACATGTTCTTTTGTGTTTGTGTGTCCTTGCTTAAGTATGGTTTTCATGTCATTTTTACATATTTGGTCTAAAATTTTGGAGACCAATTTTTTTTTTTTAACAGTTGCATGGAAGTTTGCAAACTCCTGTTTTTCTTGTTGATACAGTTCTTCATGAAAGCAACCCAACTTGAACAGATGAAAGAAGATTATTCATACATTATGGAAACAAAAGAAAGAACAAAGGAGCAGATAAATCAAGGAGAAGAGGTTTGTAAACACTTAATGCAGATATTTTTGAGATCAGTTAAATTTTTATAGGTCTTATAAATAGTATTGTAAAATTATATACGTATATATAGATATCTATACAGAACTAATAACATTTTTGTAGCACTGTATGAAGTATTAGGAAGTGTGGTTCTTAATATTCAGTGTATTTATTAGCTTTTACTTTCTCTTTTTGTAATAATGGGCATGTATACATCTTACTTCCTCAGCCACTAGAGGACAGAGCAGTATCTTATATTCTTATCCCTTGATATGTGGCTGATTGGTTCTACAATAAGATACCACCAATTCCCACTCTTAAGTAGTTAAAAAACTGTAATATTTATTTTGGTGGGAAAATAAACTCAAGCCTCAAGCTGATATTAAACATACACGTTTATAATTATGTATGGTAGATGACTTTTTCATCACACTAGTAAAATGTTAACATTCATTAAGCATTGATGGCTTGGTAGCAGCTGTCACTTCAGTACTCACAGCTTGGCAGCTGTGCAAATTTGCTTGATTAGAAATCTCTTAAGCCAGTGGGACTGACTTAAGTTTGTTTTTACATCTGCTATATTTTGTACTTATACCTCTTCAGATTCCCGAAGATCTACCTTTCTGTCCGATAATCAGAAACCTCAAAGTCATAGGCTTAGATTTCAGCTATTCATCTGATACATTAAGTCCCACCAATTTTTGTGTGATTCTGTATCTTGTTTTTTGTTATTTAGTCAGTTTTATGCAACCAACTTTCAGCAACTTAACTTGTTCTTTTGACCTGGAATCAAAATAGTGATTGACCTAAATCAAATTTATTAGCTGTTCCACTGACCTTTTTACTTCAAGTTTTTGAGGAATGTGTTTAAAATTTGGCCTATAGTTGTCTGATTCTTCAAGTGAAAAGTCAAAGATGAGTATATTTATTTTTATTCCCCAGTTATCCTTTCAAACCTGATATGTGGTAGTATGTAAGGAGGCACTATGAACCACAGAATTAATATAGAATACTTTCTTGGAATAGCAACATTATTATTGGGGAAAGGAAATATTTGCATATTCAATCAAATGTGCATAGTATATGCTACATTTATTATTTAAAAAATAATAAATCAGGACTCTAATGAAATACACTTCAAACAGCTTGGGGATAAACACCCACTTTCTCCATAGTATTCTTTGTCATCAACAACTAAAGATATTTTGGTTATGACATTTAAGAAGTACTTCCCTTTATCATGTAGCAGAGTTCCTTACATAAAATACGTACTTAATAAGAACATTTTTCCAAATTAATTAAATGCCCTGTATCGCTGTGGAAAGAGTAAACATAGATCAATAAAGAAGGTATTGTTGTCCAAAGAGATGATGACGATGTAAATTATCTCTGTCCAAAGAGGAGATGGTGTAAATTAGGGTAGCGGCAGTGGTGATGGAGAGAAGAGTTTTGAAATGATTCTGGTCGATGTTATGTAGTACATAGAGGGATAAAGCCGAGATAGAAGAGACACTGGGGAGACAGAATTACCTTCACATTAATGACCTGAGCAGCACAGTAAGTTCAGGATAGGAAGCTTGGGAAGAGGAACCAATTTTTCTTTCCGTTTTGCTTTTAAGAAAGATGATGAATTCCATTTTGAACACATTAATTTGGAGGTGCTTCTAAGGCATCTAAGTGGAAATGTAAAGTGGGAGGTTGGAATTGTTGTGAGTTAGGAATACAGAAGTCAAGTCCGGCCTCAGTAAAAATTTAGGAGTCATTAATTTGTGTATTATTGGTATCGAAGCCACAGGAATGAGGTTGCTGAGAAGGAGAAGGAAGTGGGCCCAGGCTAGGTCTGAGCCATGAGAAGTACTCGTGGGAGCCATAGAAGCCAAGGGAAGAAGAATTCGAGAAGGATATAGTCACGACTGTCTTGAATGGGTGAACACCACAATGACTGATAGATACTCAACAGTACTCAGTGACATAATCTTCATAGATTTTTCATTAGTGGTGAAAACAGAGGCCACATTTGTGGAGCTGAATGTCATGAAATGGTAAAGATAATTTTCATAAAACGTGGATGGAAAAAGACGACTTTAAGAGGAGGTGGTGCCCAGGGATGCATAGTGCTGGTTTCGTTTGTGAGAAAGTTAAGTGAGTAAAGATCTAAATATGATAACGAAAAGGACTCAGTGAAAAGGGTAAAGTGGAAACAAAGATGAAAAGATGAGATGAAACATCAACTAATTTAGATCTCCTGAGAAGTCAGAAGGCGATGGTAGGATCCTAAATATAGAGGACTAGACTCTTAAGTATAACGAATCCACCTTTGTTGTCGCAGGAGGAAGAGATGGCAGCCTTAGCTTTATAAATAAGGTTGTTGGAAGTTGGAGGAGTTTTTCTCTAATAGCTACGATATCCTCTGAAGTAGGAGGCAAAGAATGAGTGAGGGATTCCTGTGTCAGGGTGTTTGAGGTTTGAAGAGAGTAATAATGATGGATTAAAAGCCTGGAGAATGGGAAAGTGACTTAGATAGGGGAACACCGTAAGATATACAGTGTAAGGCCCTAGTTGAATCTGTAAGCGTGAATGAAAGGGAGAGAGAGGCTGTCTACCCAAGTGCACAGAATATAAAGTCTAGGAGTCACTTCAGAAACTGTTCTGATGTCATATTTAATATTTGATAATTTTATTTATTATTAAGAGAGAACTTAGATAAGAAAAATTATACCTTATTTCATTTTGGGAAATAAATTTCTTCTGAGCCTTCAATTATGTTCAGAATCGGTACTGGGTCTACTTTGCCCAGAACAGGTCAGTCTGTGTATCAGATACTGAACAGAGAGAAAATGGGAGACAGCGTTTTGTGATTTGTCTATATAAAAGGGTCTTAACCCTTAGTTCTTCACCTAAAGAGTATTTAGCCATTTTTATAGTGCAGAAATTAACCAAGTTACACACTTAATGAACATATATTGAAGAACCAAAAATATTTTTATTTTTGCCTTAAAGAAGTCATTTCCTAACAGATCTTTTTAAATACCTGTTTAGGCAGTGTTTTCAGAAGAAATACATTTGTAAAAAGTCTGTCTCTTCAATGTTAGTAAGAAATATATCCCTTTTTTTTTTAAAGCGACTCGTTGAACTGAAACGCCAGTGTTTGGAAAAAGAAGAACGGTTTGAAATTATTGCTGGTTTAAGTACAATGAAGACCAACTTAGAACACTTGAAACATGAAATGGCTTGGGCGGTGGTAATTTTCACTTAATTATTCATTCACATATATTTTCATTATACAGAATATATTTGGTTACCATTAGTGATTTACTAATTTCTTTTTAGGTCAATGAAATTGAAAAACAGTTGAATGCTATCAGAGATAATATCAAAATTGGAGAAGATCGTGCGGCTCGACTTGACAGGAAAATGGAAGAACAGCAGGTACTTAGTTTTTTTATATGGATTTAGTAGGTTGAATCATATGGGATTGCCGATATTGGACTATTTATGACCTACAAAAGTAGCAGTTTCAACCTTTATGTCTGTATTTGAGTTTATTACTCAAGCGAAGCCAACCTAAACTTTTGTTCAAGGACTTTCGTGGCAACTCTCTTTTAAAAAGTGCAGTATTTGGATGTGACCAGTGGGTGAGGCTAGTGATGTAGAACTGAATTCACGCCTGTGGACAAGGGTACTTTGTTACCAATTGGAAATGCTGGAGCTTGAAGCAACTCTTGGGTTCACCAAGGAGTAGAAACAAAATGACTCGAGGAATAGACTGCTAGAATAATAATGAATTAGAATAGTATTAAAGCTAAGCATCGTGAAGCGTAAGAACTCAGAATTACACACAATTGCTAATGGGACTTGTAGGAAACTGAGTTTTAGGGCCCAGAGCTTTCTGTCAGAGGATTTCATACAGGTAGCACACATGTGGGATAAGTTCTTAGGTCTGTAAAGGTTAATTTCAACCTGAGATCTAAGAGCCCAGGTGGAAACTAAGATTCAAGAAAACCAGAGTCTTCACTCGGGTCTAGAGGCAGAAGTTGGTTGAGTGGTAAATAAAGGCAGTAATTTTCTGTGGGGTCTTCCACATAGACCTTTTTACCAGATAGCGGGTTCACTCTTTATACCCACCTTTTCATTCTTAACACCTTTATTGAGAGATAATTCATATACCATACACTTCACCTGTGTGAAATTTACAGTTCAGTGGTTTTTCAGTATGTGCACTTGGAACTTCCTCCCACCGCCATGCCGGAACTCCAAGCCTTTTCGTTCTGTAGAGGAGCCCCTGGCGTTCAGTGTGGCTGACTTCTCTCTTAGTATTTTGCTCTGCTTAGGAGTTTCTGGCCTCCAAGCTTGGTTGTATAGGATGCAATCCTCCCCACCTTGCTTTTTTCTGTCTGTCCCTAAGGTAAGCAGGTATGTCTTTCTATTTTAAGAGTTATGACACTAATCCATCAACGGTAAAGGATGAGTATGTCAGAATAACAGAAATGCTAAAGTTGGTACATTTACTTAGTGATCTCTGGGCTGAGTTTCTCACGCCCTCCAGGTAGTAAATGGAAATTGAACCCCACCCTCTTCTCTCACCTCATATTTTCACTACTGAGAGAAGAAAAATTTTCACCAAATTCTTCTCGTCCTCATTCTTAGCTTGTCATAGTTTTCACTTCTCTTTTGTTAGGTAGTCCCCTATCTAAAAATGGAATCCAGTTGAGCAATAGATGCCTCCCTTTTTTCCAAATGTGAAAAGGAGAATCTTGAGGCCGGGTTATATTTACTTCTGTAGGTGTTTGCTCCACTTAAGTATTCGGGTGTAGTAAATGGTAAATTTCTGGAGGGTAAGGACTCATATCTATATCCTTCCCACCACGTCTTACATAAAACCTTTCACATAGTATATGCTTGGTTATTGACTACTACAGAATGACTATCAAATAGAAGGTTTCTGAAGCAATACTGTCTAAAACAGACTTTAAACTTGGGTGAACCTAATTTAAAACTGAAAATAGATGAGTTTCGTTTCATTTGTAGAATGCATTGACCAACTTCAATTTTTATTAAAAAAATAGATAATATTGTTAGTGTTTTAATAATAGAACTTCATTCTCATTTTATGTAATGCTTCCTAAATAGGCAACATATTGACAATTCCTTAATCTGCATATCCTATTCAAATGTTTACCTTGAGCACTTGACTCAAATATCTGTCTTCACATCTTTACATACATGTTCCAGACACTTTAAACTTAGCATGTCTGGTTGAACAGCTGTGACAGAGACAAGATGGCTCACAAATCCTGAAGTATACACTCTCTGACTCTTTCTAGAAAGTTTTTTGATCCCTGATCTAAATTGTTCTCATATTTGTTCCTTCTATTCCATTTCTACTGTCACTGCCCCATTTTGGCCCCTAATTATTTTTGCTTCAGAATATTTTATTAACTTCTTACTGAAATGTTTCCTTCAATTTTTCCCTCCACCCTGCCTTCCATGTGCTTCCAAAGTGATTTAATGTACAAATTTGGTCATATCTGGTCTCCCTGTTGTTGGGAGGGTTAAGTTCTAGGCTGATCATTGTGAAATTCAAAACCCTTTTACCCCATGATCTCATCTCCCACTGCTACTTTCTCAGTGTAAGCTCCAGAAATATTTTTAATTCCTAAAAAGGCTGTCTCTCCCTTTCTGCATGCTTTTCCATCTGCCTCTTAACACGTTTCCTTAACTTTTCTTTTGGTTCATTTCGATTAATCTCTCAAGCCTCAGCTCAAATGCTACCCTCTTTGAAGGC